TGTACCCTTCAGATTTTATTTACTCTTTCAGGTTCTTATAGTAGGAAGGAAATAGGATGTTTACACATGTGAATCTGATTTATTTCACTTATGTGTATGGTTTCTAGTAGCATCCATTTACCTATAAAAGCCACTAGTTTATCTTTCTTTATAGCTGAGTAATACTCCATTGTGTAAAAATAGTACATCTTTTTTATCCATTCCTCAGTTGGTGGACATTTGGGTTGTTTCCAAGATTCAGCTATTACAAATGGCGCCGCTATAAACATGGGTGCCCATACATCACTGTGGTATGATGTTTTCAGTTCTGGAAAAATACCCAAGAGAGGAATAGCTGGGTTGAATGGGACCTCTAATCCTCATTTACTGAGGAATTGCCAGATTTTTTTCCACAGTGATTGTACCAGTCTACATTCCCACCAACAGCAAGAAGAGTTCCTTTTTCCCCACAGCCTCTCCAGCATTTGTTATGGGTTGATTTCTTGATGATGGCCATTCTTTCTGGGGTGAGATGGAATCTCAGTGTTGTTTTAATTTGCATTTCTTGAGTAACTAATGATGTTGAACATTTTTTCATGTATTTATTTGCCATTTGTATTTCTTCATGTGAGAAGTGTGTATTCATCTCAGATGCCCATTTTTGTATTGGGTCTTTGAATTTTGGGGGCCTGATTTTTTTTTTAAATTCTTTATACGTTCTAGACAGGAGTCCTTTGTCTGAGGGACAGTTGGCTAAATTTTTTTCCTAATTTGTGGGTTTTCTTTTCACCGTGTTGGTGATTTCCTTTGATGTGCAAAAACTTTTCAATAAGGTGAGATCCCAGTTGTTGATTCTTTGAAGTATTTCCTGTTTGGTTTTTGTTCATGAACATTCTGCCTACCCCTATGTCTTCAGGACTTCCACCTACTTTCTCTTCTACTAGATCTAGTGCTTCTGTTTTAATATTTGTATCTTTAAGCCATTTTGATTTTATTTTGGTGCCTGGTGATAGGCTTGGGTCTAGTTTTAGTCCTCAGCATGTGGAAAGCCAATTTTTCCAGCACCATTTATTAAAGAGGCTATCTTTTTTTCAGTGAACATGTTTGTCGCCTTTGTCAAAGATAAGATGGCTGAGTGTCTTTATGGTTGTGTCTGCATCTTCTAATCTGTTCCATTGATCTTCAGGTCTCTTTTTTTTGCCAGTACCATGCTGATTTTATCACACTAACTTTGTAGTATAATTTCAAATCAGGGATTGTGATACCTCCTGCCTTGCCTTTGTTGCCCAGGATTGCTTCTGCTATTCTGGGTCTCTTCTGGTTCCTTATGAATTTTAGGAATATTTTCTCTAGGTCTGTGAGGTATACCAGTGGTATTGTCATCAGAATTGCATTGAATCTGTATAGCAATTTTGGGAGTATGGCCATTTTTACAGTGTTGGTTCTTCCTGTCCATGAGCATGGAATGTCTTTGCATTTTTTGAAATCCTAAGAATTACAATTTAATTAGTGTTGAAATACAACAATTTTTAGGATGATTAGAGTGTGAAAGTCAAAGAATTAAGAAGCAAGAGTGAATTTCCTTATATGATTTGTGGCTTTAGACAATGCAGAGCCTATTTAAACAAAACAAAATGAAAAAACACTTGCTGGCCAGGCATGGTGGCGCACGCCTATAATCCTGGCACTCAGGAGGCTGAGGCGGGAGGATTGTTGCAAGTTCAAGATCAGCCTGGGCGACAAAGTGAGCCCAAAGCTGGCCTGAACTGCATAGTGATACGCTGTCCTAAAAAAACCAAAAAAAAATACCAAAAAAAAGCCCAACCACTTGCTGGGTAGTCGTCATTGGTGGAGATAGTAAATAGAAATGATACCATATTGAGGGATGGAGAATAAGGATCATGAGGATTGGCTTCTAGAGAATGGAGAATGATAAAATTTTTTAAAAATGTTGTAGGACCTAATTTTTTTTTTTCCGTAGGACTGAGGATTGAGTCCAGAATTCCATACATGCTAGGCAAGCTGTGTAGGGCCTTAAATTTTTTTTATTAGAAAAGTTTCTAAATAGGTTCATTTGTTTTTATAAAATAATATACTGGTAAATTTTTAAAAGAACAGAATTGGCAAGTAACACAAATAGTAACAGTAATTACTTAAATTTTCACCTGCTCTAGGACTTTTCACTCTTCTAGCTATATTTGCTTCTACTTTAGTATGTAATGGTCTAGACAAAACAAAATTATTAATCAAAATATTTAAAAGGATTTTAAAAAACACATTTGACTAGTAGAAAAACACACAGAACACATGAGACCTGGATGTGGAACCTATAGTTCTCTTTGCCTCCACGATAATTTAAAATATTCATATTCACTTTGAACTATTTTATATTTACCTTATAAAATTATTTCCCTGTTTTTCCCCCCAATATAACATTTTCCTAATGGGCAATTGTGTGGTCAGAAGTGCAGATTTTAAACCTTATATTAAAAAAAGAACTCTTGGTTTAACTGAAATCTTCTGTGGAGCCCTCATCTGTAAGATGACTAAAATCATAGATTTTATTGCAGTGGGGGGGACCTGAGGTGTCCTTTCCTTCCAAGAACATCTAGTGTCCTCTCTCATCTGTTTTCCCCATTTGTAAAGTGGGAATGATGATATACCTGTCAATGTCTGGTTTACAGAGATCTGTCATTAATATTTTCTCCCATCCACTGTCCCTATAAATTCATCATGCTGTGTGTTGCAATGTTCATACATAAACAGATTTTCCTTATGAATCACCTGGGTGGATACTATATCATGTGACCACATTTTTACTGTGCATTGAAACACGGTCTCCAAAAATACAGTGCTTTATGTATTCTTCCCTAGCATACTCATAAAAGATAAAACTACTGTCTCTGTCAAAAGTGAGGACATCATCTGTTGAGGGCAATAGTACTACAGGCCCAGTTATTTAAGTGTATTTTGAGGTTATAAAATATGATTAGAAATGTAAGGATGACTATCTCAAAACAGCTTTCTAAAATAACCTCTGGGTTATTATAGTGTATTTGTGTTCAGTTTTTTTGTTTTTCTTTTTTTGTGGTACTGGAGATTGAACTCAGGGCCTTGTGTATGGTAGACAGTCACTCTACTATTGAGCTACATCCCCAGCCCTGTGTTCAGTTTTAAGGATTAGGGAAAAAGAATTTTACTATGATATATTCCAGATTTTATTGCATATTGGCCCTCATGATGAATACTAGACTCTTACCTGTTGTCAAACTTAATTACTTAAATATTATGTCTCCTGGTCGCTAAGGGTTTTCTTTTCACATTTTATGTTTTCCATGGGTAGATCACAGTGAATTTTTGTATTAAATTTCTATTTGAAATATATCTGTAAATTATGCAGTAGTTTATAAAAATCTTAAAAATGCTGTTGTTACAAATGAATTAAAAACCTAAATCTCAAGTGCCAACATTATGAATTGGAGAATTGGTATAGATCCACTCTCATTTGCCAGGGAAAAATGCCCCAATTTATATATGATTATGGTGATAAAAGATAAGAGATAGATTATCACTATGTCCCCTCCTGTTACTAGACCTAAGAAAATTATTTCTCTCCATTTATTAAATTGGATAGGATTTGATTTTCAAGTTTAGAATTAAATCAGTTCAGTTTAATTTATAGTATTATTGGATTTTTTTTTTTTTTGCAAAATTTTAGTGAAATAAGGTTTGAAGTTTTAACTTCATGACACACATCAGATAATTCCTTACAAGTCTTATAAAGATCACAGAGGTAATTTTTTTGATAACTTTGTTGATTGTTGCTTTGGAGACAGAACATGTTGTCTTTGTCTTGTCTGTGCTCCTGCAACAAAATTCCTGAGACTAGGTAATTTGTAAAGAGCAGAAATATATTTTCTCACAGTTTTGAAGGCTGGGAAGTCAGATCAAGGCACTGGCCTTTGGTGTCAGGTGAGAGCCTTCTTACTGTACCCTCCAGAGAACAGGAGTCCTGTGCTTCTGTGTGGCAGAAAAGCAGACCACGCTAATACTTTGGGAAGTCTCTTTTATTAGGCCCTTAATCCCATTCACACAGAACACTCCTTGTAGTCTAATCACTCTTCAAGGCCCCACTTAAAAGGCCAATATGATTGCAGTGCAGGACCTGAATTTTGGAAAGGACACATTTAAACCATAGTAGATGGGTACCATCACGTTAACAGTCTTTTCTAATGAAATGCCCATATACTGCATAATGTCAGAAATTATTTACACTACTTTCCAGGTAATATGCCAAATATTACCTGGATCCACTGAGAAAACTGTGTTTTGGAAATGTAAGTCAAGAGTACTTAATGTAACATACAGTGATGATACTTATTTTGACCCTGGGAAAAATAACAGGTGTTACCTGGAGTTTAAGGAAGAAGATTTACAGTCAGATACAGTTGGACTGTGTTGATACAAGTAAAGCCAAACTTTATTTGAAGAATTTTCAGAGACCTTAATATTGAAATATTTTGTATTGGTCAGATTAATCACCGATCTTGTTTTGTATAAATCCCCCCATTATTACAAAGTAATATGCAAGTTCCACATCAGATATCACATCATTAATGAGAAGAAGGAAAAATCTCTTCTTTCAAAGGATTTATTTGAAAAGTTGCCACTTTTAGAGAATCTGTATATAAATTTAAATTTTCAATTTTGTTTTCTCCAAGGATTTTGTAGGAACAAATGGGGAAGTAAGATAGAGAAAAAAGACATGGGGTAGAAAGTGTGGTTAGGGTAGAAGGAGGAACTAATTCAACAGATCAAGTTAGATTTAAAAATTTGTTCTGTCCTTTCTTTTAAATGCTTGTTAGGGGCCAGGGATATAGCTCAGCAGCACAAGCGCCTGCCTGGTAAGGGCAAGGTCCTGAGTTCAATTCCTGGTACCCTCAAAAAAAAATGCTTGTTGGACTAAGATTTTGTAGGATTTATATTGGCTTGTGTCTGAACAGAGTTTTTACAAATTGGCTAAGTAATTTGCTGCATTAGTCTTCTGAAGTTATGTCTCTGATGTTTGTTGTCTTGTAGTATCTATAGAATAGAGAAAATTATACTACAGTTATTCTGTGTATATTGAAGGGAGTGTGCTATGTGATTATTTTGTTGTTACTCGTGATTATGATCATAATTAGATACAATTTGCTTTTTTCTTTCACAATTTCCTAAAGAATTTGAGACTTCATTATTCATTTCTACTCACTTGTCAACATTGTCTCCATTAATGTCTTCTGATTTATTTTATAATGCAATTTCTGGCTTGGATGTTTGACTCCAGAAAATTCTACTATGTAATAGAGCATATACTACATACTTTTTCAAGTTAAATTTGTAATTGCTCATTCATACAAATGTCTGTATTTCAGATGGAACAATTATCAGATGAAGAAATTGACCATGGTGCCGAAGAAGACAGTGACAAAGAAGATCAGGATCTAGACAAAATGTTTGGAGCTTGGCTTGGGGAACTGGACAGACTCACACAGGTTAGTATCGGTGCTTGAGAAATTAGTTGAGGATTTCAAGTCATCACTGAGTGTTTCTTTTTAATTTTTAATTTTTTTAGTATATATTTATAGTTCATGCAGTTTACAGTCATCTTGGGTTATGTGTATATACTACAACTTTTTTTATGTGGGTTATGTGGTTATATGTATATACTACAACTTCTTTTTTTAATCCCCTTCGCTCCCCTTCCCTCCCTCCTACTCCAGTTCTCCTATCCCATTTTTCATTCTTGTTGATATTATTAATCTTAGCTCATGTTATGCATATAATATTTACATTAATTGAGGTTATTAGATTTCTTTACATGGCATAGCTTTATTATTTGTCCTTCCCCTCCTCCTCACACCTCACACTTTTTTCCCTTGGACCACTTCTCTGTTGCAAGGGATCCATTGCCTTGTCCCCTTCTATCCATCCTTTATTAGTCTCTTTGTTTTTACTTTACCTTGCTCAAATGAGAGATATCATATGGTATTTGAGCTTTTGTGTTACATGCATCCATTTTCCTACCAGTGTCTCAGATCTGTCATTCTTTTTAGCAGAGTAGTATTCCATTGTATATAGACACCACATGTTGTTTATCTAATCGTTTGTTGATAGGTATACAGGCTATTTCCAGGATTTATAAGTTGTGCTGCTATAACCATTGGTATCCATGTATCACTGTAGTATGATGTCTTAAACTCTTTGGAGAAGTTACCTAGCATGGGAATCACTAGGTCATGTGGAATTTCTAATTTTAGTTCTTTGAGAAATCTCCATACTGACTTCCATAATGGTTGTACTAGTTTATATTCCCACCAACAATGGAGGGTTCATTTTTCACCACAGCCTCAGCAGCATTTGTTATTGTTTGATTTCTTAATGATTGCCATTACTTTTAGAGGCAGATAGAATTTTAGTATTGTTTTAATTTGTGTTTTTCTAGTAGCCAGGGATTTTTTTCATGTATTTGTTGACCATTTATAGTTCTTCCTCTGTGAAATGTCTGTTCATTCCTCTTGCCCATTTCTTGACTGGATCTATAATTTTAGGTGGTTTAATTTTTTTGTATTCTTTGTGTATTCTTAGATATTAGTTCTCTGAGAAGTAGCTGGCAAATTTTTTTTCCCATTCTGTAGGTTATCTCTTCACTCTACTGATTGATTCTTTTGCTATACAGAAGCTTTTTTTAGTTTTGAAGTATTGTACCTATTTTTTCTTCCAGTGGGTTTAATATTTCTGTTTTAATGCTTAGATCTTTGATCCATCTTTATTTTAATTCAGTATATAGTGGGAGGTAAGGGTCCAGTTTCAATCTGCAGATTACCAGTTTACCCAACACTATTTGTTGAGTAAGCTATCTTTCCTCCAACACATGCTTTTAGCCTGTTTGTTGAAGATCAAATAGCTGAATGTATCTGGGGAAATTCCTGTATCCTCAGTTTATTCCATTGATCCAGGTATGTTTTTGTTCTAATAGCATGCCGTTTTTATCACTGTTACTTTGTAGTATAGCTTGAAGTCAGTTGTTGCTATGATTCTTCCTTTGTTCTTGTTGCCCAAAATTCCGTTTGCTATTCTAGGTCTCTTACAGTTCCATATGAATTTTAGGATTGTTTTTTCTAGATCTGTGAAATATGCTGTTGGTATTTTGATTGAGACTCCATTGAGTCTGTATAACAGTTTTGGGAGTATGGCCATTTTGACAATATTGATTCTGGCTATCCAGAAACAGGGGATATCTTTCCATTTTTTGATGTCCTCTTCAGTCTCCTTTATCAGAGTACTGTAATTTTCTTTGCAGAGGTCTTTTACTTGCTTGGTTAGGTTAATTCCTAGATATTTCATTTTTCTTGAAGCTACTCTGAGTGGTACTGTTTTCATAATTTTCTTCTCATCCAGTTCATCACTGTTGTCTACAAATGCTAGTAATTTTTGTGTGTTGATCTTTTATCCTGCTATATTGCTAAAGTTCATTATTAATTCTAAGAGTTTTCTGGTGGAGTTCTTTGGGTCTTCTATGTATAGTATCGTGTCATCTGCAAATAATGATAATTTGGGTTCCTCCTTTCCTATATGTATCCTTTTTATTTCTTTCTCTAGCCTAATTGCTTTGGTTAATGTTTTAAGTACTGTATTGAATAGAAGAGGTAAGAGTGAACATCCTTGTCTTGTTCCTGATTTCAAGAGGAATGCTTTCAGTTTTCTATGTTAGTATGATGCTGGCTATTGGTTTGTCATAAGTAGCATTTATCATATTCAAGTATGGCCCTTCTGTACCTGTTTTCTTTAGTATTTTTATCATGAAGGGGTGTTGGAGTTCATTGAAAGTCTTTTTTGCCTCTGTTGATATGATCATATGGTTGTTGAGCTTGCTGTTGTTTATGTGATGCATTACTTTTATTGACTTACATATTGTATCTCTAGGATGACACCTACTTAATATGATATATGATCTTTTGATAATGTGCTGCATTCTATTTGCCAATACCTTGTTGAAGATTTTTGCATCTATATTCATTAAGGAGTTGGTCTGTAGGTTTCTTTTTCAGTTGGGTTTTTTTCCTGGTTTGGGGATCAGGTTGATACTGGCTTCCATAAATGAGTTTGGGTGCACTCCATCCCTTTCAGTTACTTTCAAGAGTTTGAGGAGTATTGGTGATACAACATCCTTAAAGATTTTATACAATTAAACAGTGAATCCATTAGGTCCTGGTCTTTTTTAGTTGCTGGATCTTTATTATTTTCTCAATTTCATTGCTTGTTATTGGGTTGGTAAGGATAGTTATGAGTTCTTGGATTAGTTTTAGCAATTATTATGTGTCTAGGAATCTGTACAGTTCCTCAAAATTTGCTAATTTGTTGGAATATACTTTTTTTTTCAGTAGTTACTATCTTGTGGATTTTAACAATATCTGTTGTGATTTCACTTTTTTCATTTCTAATTATATTGATGTTGGTCTTTTTTTGCTTTTTCTTTGAAAGTCTGGCTAGGTATGATGGTGGATTCAGCAGACAGGTTCACTGGCATAAAATTGTTCACTGAGTCAGTATTATTCCAGTGCATTCAAATCAGTTACAGTAGAAATAGGCTAATCCATTACAGTAGTGTCTATCAGGGCTGGTTGAGAAATAACATACCATGAGATCCTGTTTTGGGTGTCCCTTAACCTAGAAAAGAAATCCACAGGTATAGTGTAAGCACCATAGCAACCCAAGTCTTGACTCACAGTTAATGTGTAGTAAGTGTGATGGCTACGTCTCCTCTAATGGTGAAAAAACAGTTCAACAGGAATCATATAGAATTGGTTACCTAAAGCCCAGGGGTTTAATTCTGGCTATCCAGAAACAGGGGGCAAGGTATTGCCAGAGGAGGGAAGAGAAGAGAAGAGAAAAAAAAGAAAAAATATTTGTTTAGGTCTTCTGCTGTGTGATACAGGCAAGTGGAAATGGGGGGTGGGGCAAAGGAGCCTAGAGATGGTAAGGGTACATTATATATTTAGAAGGGGATAACAGAAAACTGGGTACAAAATTGTTAGAAATGGAGAGGGAAAAAGATCCTATGACTGATACAGATATTAGAGTAAAAGTTAAAGGGAGTCAAATGAAAAAGGAGAGAAGAAAGAAAAGAAATATTGAGAATGAATAACACAGAGGAGAAAAAAGTCAGCTGTGAAGAGATACGGATAAAAGTAAGAGGGATATAAGGGACAAGGGAGAATTCTCTTTTCCTCTCTAAACTGTATTGGGAGAAAAAAGGCAGAAGAAAGAGAAGCACACACACAAACACACACACTCATAAAAGAAAAAAGGGTAAAATAATGCAGTAAATGTGTGGTAGAAACTGTACAGAAGATGGGGCCAGGGATATAGCTCAGCAGCACAGCGCCTACCCAGCAAGCACAAGGTCAAGAGTTTAATTCCCGGTACCAAAAAAAGAAAGTGTATAGAAAGAAAAAAAAAAACAAAGAATTAAATTTTTTTTAATTAAAAAGAAATTTTCTTTAAAAAAGAAGATAATGAAAAATTTAAAAATAATACAGTCAAAGAATAATAGAAGAAAGTTTTCTGATTTTTTGGATGTGTGGCTCTTTTTATCAGTGTAGGGTTAAGAGCAGAGCTCAGGCCAGGATGTGTCTTCTGTTCACACTGGAAGTCTTAAGTTCTGAAAGACTAGAAGTCTCTGTTCCCACAGCCCCCAGACAGTGCTGGGTGTAGAGATTTACTTACAGTGAGAACATAAGCCCAGTGTGAGCATCCAGTGCTGTGTACGTCAGGCTGAAGCTGGCCTCTGAGTTCAGGAGCCAGGACTGTGTTCACCATCCCGTCTCTCAGCAGGATTCCTCCCCTGTATACTCTCTATCCGCCAGCAATATCCCATGACAGTCCTTCCTGCATCCACCCTGGGAACTTGGCAGTGTGAAACAGCCAGGGCGCTGCTCTGGGACCCAGGTTCAGACACCAGCTCTTCCCTATGAAGGTGTCCCCACCAGCTCTTCCTCCACAGTTGTGGCTGCAGGTGCTGCTGTTCCAAGGTGACTCACCAACTGTTGACTATGGAGGGCCACTCTGGAAACAGTGACCCACATTTTCCTTGCTGGTTCCAACTGTCAGTGATTCTTTTGGTCTCAATGCAGTTCTCTGTGACAAAAATGTTATTAGTTTCAGTTCGCCTCCTGGCTAGCCATCTCTTCTTGAAAGTATGATCTTTTTCTTCTGAAATATATATGAAAGTATGATCTATAATAGGTGATAATCCTATTTTCTTCTTCTCTCTCAGTTCCCTGGTGGTTACTAGGCAACCTCCAGTCACTTCAGTTCCTCTCCAAGCTACCATTTTCCAGACTCTAGACACTTTGTCCTAGAGGAGCTGAGTTGCTGGCAGTCCCACTGATCTGCCATTTTGGGACCTCCATCACTGAGTGTTAAAAGTCTAATGGGCAGACATAAGGATGTGGATACAGGTTAATTTTTTTTTTTTTTTTTTTGGTTTTTCTCCGGTACCGGGAACCGAACTCACGACCTTGCACATGCCAGGCAAGCGCTTTTGCCGCTGAGCTA